CCCCCCCCCCCCAAGAAGAACACAACTAGATCGATACAGAGAAGAGGCGTGCTTGCTTTTCTTTCCTCCCTCGCTTCCCGTTTGCTAGACACTTTTGGGGAGGCGGCGGCCAGGAGGCAGGAGACAGGCTAGGAGAGTCGGGGAGAAAAAGCGATGTCCATTAAAATATCCAGGGCCCCCGCGAGCTGCTGGGGCCAGGGACCCTCCTTAGTTACACTCGCCGGCCAGCTGCGGCCATGTGACCACCCCGGCGGGGTGTGTGTGTGTGTGTGTGGGGGGGGGGCACAGATGTTTCCCACTTTTCCTGTTTGATTTGGGCAACCTTCCCCCAAACTCCACCGGCTGCAGCCACCCGGGCCTGGGGCATTTCCCCGACTTCCTTCGGCGCTGTATCAGGGCCTCCAGCCCTCGCTCACCAGATAATCTTTGCACTGGGATTTTCTGGGACCCTGCAGCAGCGTGCAGGATCTAGCTATATTGGAGGTTTCCTTCCTTCCTCCCTTCCTTCCTAGCACCGTGGCATCAGCTCCTCTCTGACACAAGTTTCATACCAACACTGCAGAAGAAAACCCCGGCCCGGCTGCGGAAGGCACCCGGTTCCCCTTGCCTAGTCTGAATTGTCCTAGCGCGGTAGAAGCACGGCTCCACCTCCCCGGCGCGCTCATGCCCCTGCCGCGGGGTAGCAGAGGTGTCGTGTGCCAGCTCGGGGGTGGGAGGCCGGTTTGGACCCGGCTCCCCGGCTGACCCGGCTCCATACCTGAGTTGAGGCTGCCTTCCTTTAAACTGGGCGAGTTCAAATAGTCCTCTTTGCAAACAAATTTGTTTTCGTCTATGATATACAGTTCCTCTCCGGTCGAGAGCTGTTTGTTGCAAACCATGCATGTAAAACAGTTCAGGTGAAAGACTTTGTTTCGGGCTTTCCTTACGAGGTCGCTGGGGGAGATGCCTTGGGAGCAGCCGGCGCATTTGGTACCAAACCTCCTGGGGGAAAAAAAAGAAGGTTAAGAGAGGAATGGGCACTAAACCGGGAGGGAGAGACCACCCCCGCCCCAGCTAAGGACCCCTCCGTGCTACAGCTACTGCAAGCATGCGTGTGTGCGCGCGCGTGTGTGTGTGTGGTGGGGGGGAGGTTAGGGGGAAGAATTGAAGCAAATCAAACAATCGCCTGGCTTTGGACAATCAAAAGAGCCTGGATTTGGATGCCAGGGACGTGGGTGCGCAAAATCATTCCTCCGGTCCCGCCATAGGTTTCCAGGAGCCTAAAAGAGGAGTCGCAGAGACATGGAAATGCTCTGCCAGCACTGCATGCCCTTATTTGACTCCACAGAAATGACCCCCCCGCCCGCACTCCAGCAGTCGGGTACTAGTCCAGCTACTAATGGACTTCGCATTTTCTTTTTTTAAGGGCAATCCTCAACCCCACCACCTACAGGATTTCAGGGCAGGTGAGGAGCTGATCGTTCAACTCTTTGAAACAGCAACGGGGAGGGGGCTGTTCTTCTTGGCCGGGTCGCCGGTGCCGCAAAGCTCAGGGGCCGGCGGGGGAGGGAGCCAGGCGCCGGCTATTTCGCGAGAGCCGCAGTGGCTGGAGCCAGCTGCCGGGCCGGCTGCGCTTACTGCAAAGGTGTGAGAGCCAATATCCGTGCGAGGCCGGGAGGACCTGCTCCAATCCAGCGTAAAAAAGAAAGATCCCTCTTGATGCTGGCCCCCGAGAAGGCTGCACGACGGGGTGTGAATGCTCTGCACAGCCGGGAGCAGGCTGACCGCCCGGCCCTGCTTCACCCCGCGACGGCGAGCGCACATCCCTCCCCCGTGAGTCTCGAGCTACCCAGGAGCTTTTGCTCCTTGCTTCCGAGGCTCGGGAGAGGCTCCAGAGGAAAACCAGAGTGTGATTTTTTCATTAAAAAAGTGAGACTGGGAGCCTCGTTAACGTGTTAAAGTATCCCCCCTTTGCCCGGGGAAAGGATTATCACAGCGGCTGCCTCAAGCGATTCTAGGCTCGGTCTTCCTGCCGGCTCCGTTGCAAACACGAGCACTTTTTGCACGGCAGGAAGGGAATGACCGCGATTCAGGATCAGTTATTAAGATCAAAATAGGAGGGGAGGGGGGACCGAGGTTTCGATGCGGGGGGCTCTGATGTGGGCTCCGGAGGGTGGCAGCGGGCACAAGGTGTCTAATGGGGAGAGGAAACTGGTTTCCCCCCTTTTCCCTGCCTAGCCCCCAACTTCCAAGAGCTTCCCTTTCCCTGACGTTGATGTAGTGAAAGCATTAGAAGTCATAAGTCATTTTTTCGTCTTATCCCGGAGCATAATTGCCTCATCTGCACCTTATCAAAAATCATTAAAGGCATTTAAGGAATTGCAGCCTGAGAGGTCCTGAATGCGCGGGGGCCATTAAAAGTAGTTTACATGTGTAAAGGCGACTGTGACACTTAACCTATTCAAATTCACCTTCATTAAGGCCTGCAGCAGTAGGCAAAGTGCCCCTCACCTCCCCCCACCCCCACCCCTTCCATATTAATCATCCCCGGAGCTTTCCAGCCTTTAGCTAAACAAATAGCCACATTTACCTCATTTACAGCCAGAAAACAAAAGGCCGGGCGAGATTTAGGGCCATTTTCCATTCTCAATGAGCCCCTTTGTTGATTTAGAAGAAGAAAGAGGCGCAAAAGTTTGCCCCGCGCACTCGCGGCTAATTAGCGCCCAAAGCCTCGTCCCTCGCCCTGGCAGGGGACTTGGCTCCGTTTTACGGCCACAGCCAGCCCGGCGGGCCGCAGGCCGGGGCGGGGAGGCTGTTTTGGGGGACAGAGGCCACCTGGAGAGGGGATCGGTGCCGAGGGAGAACCGGGCTGGTTTGTTCCCAAGCCACTGGATTCATGTGCTGCTGAGAAAAGTTTGCTCCTTCCCCACGCCAGGTCGCATCTCAAAATGTCAAAGAGCCGGTCCCGTCGCGCGGCTGGCCACGGGCTGTGCGCACGGACAGTGCCGGGCCCAGCTCCGGATCCGCGCCGCGCCGCGCAGCCGGTCTGCGGAGCAGCGGGGGGAGGCGGCGGCGAGCGGAGCGCGGGGACACGGGCACAGCCGCGGCGCCGGCTCAGGGACAGCCTCGCCCGGCAACAGCCGCCGGCTCCGGCACTGAGCTACCGCGCGGGCAGGAGCAGTCGCCACCGATTTGCAGGCTCCGCACCGCACCGCACCCGATCCTCCATCCCTCGCCTTGCTAAGTTAGGAGAGGCACGGGGCACACGGGATGTACACGACGCCTTGCATCTGCGGGCTCCCCCACCCCCGCCTTTCCCTCCCCGGCATTAAAGGGCTTCGCCTCTGGCCAGAGGAACTTACCTGAAAAAGTCATTTTTGCAGTAAAGCTTGCCTTCCCGGGAGAAGCATTTCTCAGTCAGGTTGCACTTGCATTCGCAGCACTGGACACATTTAATGTGCCATGCTCTGTCCAACACGTTCAGCAGGAACCTGTCCAAAATGGGCCTCTCACAGCCTGCACAATGCACCATCATGACCTCACCCGAGGAAGGAGAGACAAAAAAAGGTAATAACAGAATGCAACCCCCACCCCGCTGCACGGCCCGCCTAAAACGATCGCGAGAGGGACCAAAAATCCCCCCCCAGTGGAGAGCGGCACTGTCAACTTCTTTCCTCTTCTCCTCGGCGTCTTGGTCGCAGGGCACAAGCGTGGCAGGCACTTTCCAGACCCCGGCGCTCAGGCAGATGCCTCTGTGCCCCCACCCCCCCACACCTCTCCCACCAGGTTCAAGGGGGGAAGCCAAGCAAAGTTGCAAAGATATCCTGGGCGGGCGGCTGGGGACTTGCGCGGCGCCTGCAGCTGCATCAGCGGCGCCTCGGTGGAAGCAGCCAGCCTCGGAAGGGTTGCGTGAAAAAATCGCGAAGCCCCCGGTTCCTCCGTGCCGGCGGCTGCCTGGGACTTTTCTCCACTTTCATGCTGTTCCCATCTTCAGCTTTGTCTCGCGGCTTAGTAATTCGCGCATCCTTATTCAGATTTGGTGACGTCTCGCAGAACGTAGGGCGGCCCGGGCCCAATGAGAAGGCGGTGGCCATGGCAACCTCTTAATTTATAGCATATCTAAATTGGCTCCAGCCTTGTGCTTGGCACAGAGGGAAAAAAACAAGGCATCACTATTGTTGAGTAGTAGGTTTTACCTGGTGCTGGGGCTAAGTAAGTATTTATCTTTACGTTGTTTGCAGGGCGGCGGCGTGGAGATTTCATATATCTATATCTATATTTGGGCGGGGGTGGGGGGCTTCCTATTTTATTTCTCTCTTGCTTGGGGAGGGGGATCTGGGGGCAGTGAGACCTCGGGGAGGTCAGTGCCCCTGGAAAACAAGCTCTGGTTAGCCTTAGTGTGTCAAAAGAAAGCCAATACAAGCAGCGACCGGCCTCCTGGCATCAGCAGTTAATATCCTTGCTCTATTAGTCAAGTGATCTACACCAGTGCAGTAAATAAATGGAGAAATGCCAATGGGACCAG